TACATTACTCGTCCTAGGACCAGCCCTGCCGCTTAAGCCCCCTCTGTCTCCTATCACTGGCGGTCTGATCAATGCCTTGCCCGAGGCTGTAGCATCAATCGGAGCCACCCCTGTCGGTTTTTTGGGAGGACCGTCCTCCGTGGATGTTGTTTTTATTTTTGAAAATGAACTCATATTTTGGTCCCACGAGTGTCGGACAGTGGAGGTCCGCCCGCACAGAGGTCCGTGTGTGCAGGTAAGGCTTGATAGAACCGGAGATCGCTAGGTATCCGGAGCACTCCGTTCGAGACTGGTATAGTTTTTTGTCTGGGTCCCCAGCCAGTCTGAACATCAGCACGGGTCGTCTAACACCTTATTCCAACCCAGAGTTTTTTTCAAGAGGTTTGCTCCTCAGTTACCTCCATAGGCCACGATCAAAAACCATTTCCATATAACTAAGCTATTGAAGAGCTTAAGCACATAGCACTGATTCTTGACCTTAGCTGGACACCATTCTGACATCGTACAGAACCTAAACTGTAGTACCCATTACCAGTCGGCACCCTCGTGGAGGGTTCAGCCGGAGGGTTTTCGCCGACCGATAAACAAAGTAACTTTAGAAATTCTTTCAAACGAATGTTTAAGCGACCGCACAATAATAATAAAATATTTTTTACTATTATAAAGTTTAATACTAATACTTTTTCGCAAAATAGCGTATTGCCACCCTGGCGTATTGGCTGTTCGGTTCACCCAGCAAATCGTGCTGGCTGTTCGATTTCGAAAATTCTCTTACTCCGTGCTGTGCACAAAAACAATTGCACGGTGATTGCCAATCGAAATTGGTGGCGTAACCACGGCCTTACGGAAAAAACACGCTCAACCTCAGTATATCTAGTAAACAAACTTTTTTCCACCAAATTTGGTCCCCATAAAGGACTAGTGTTGCAAGCAACGCTTTTTTATCAAAAAAGGTGTTGTGCAGCAATTTTATGTGGTGAAAATTATTTTAGCACTGGAAAAATGGATAGAAAAGTATTGCAGTGAGATTGAACATCTCAGGTTTAGCTGAAATATAAATGTATTAAGAATAGTTATTTTTCTAATAAATGCTTTTTTATTTTACTGTGTCGAGGTCGTTGAACAAATATTTGTAATTTAGTATTTAAGTTAATTGTGAAATATATTGAATGCACAAATTAAGTTATGGGAGCGATTTATTCAAAGAATTGGAAATAAGGTTGATGATATACTTTAAATAAATTGTGAGTCTGCGAAAATATCTTTTCAGCATATGAATATACTTCTTAACATTTTCCCGAAATCTTACATACAGGCTCGAAATTATGCCAGTAACATTCAAATATCGTCGCTTGGATGGAAAATTTCCGTAAGCGTTATTTTGACAGTTTTTAGTTAAAGATGCAGTTATATATTTTAAAATCAGATATTTCGCTTTTTTGTTAACAGTTTTTTGGAATTCTTCTTTAGTTTCCGAGTAATTGACTAAAATCATTTGGTACAAATTACGTTAGTAATGCTGTCGTACTAAACTAATTAAGATCTTTCAAATAGCGTCATCTGTTTTTAAATATCTGCTTTAGTTTCCGACATATTCAGCCTTATCATGAGTTTCATTTTCACGAACCGGGCCACCTTTTCACTTTTCGTTTCCGTGTATTCACTACGGGTGGGTGAAAACATTTCTGGCGAATTTTTTTTTTGGGCGAGACTCACGACTAGGCTGATTAGTGTAAAGTATCGTTAATTTATAAAAAATGTTATCACATTTGGCGTATACGACAAAATTTTATTAAACTCATAAATGGTTGATAGTAAACTAAAAAATAAGATAATTTAAGAATTTCGTGAATAGTACATAGCATTCTCCGACACTTTGGAGAAAATATGTAGTCGAGTTTCTGAGAAATTGCATTCCAAACTTCAATTGTGATTTCCCGAAACCTGCCGAAAGTAACATGCAACGATATTTTATCTAGGCGACGATATAACATTTAGCTAAAATATGCGTCTAAATAAATTATAAAAGTCATTATTTTTTGGCAGTTGAGGTATATGCCAGGCGAGTAACCGGTAAATACATACATATGTAAGTATACCTAAATTACCACGTTGAGCTTGTATAATAATCTCTCTCTAATGCATTAATTCTATAAACGTCAGGACCAATGCCCGACGCAGTTATGTCTTTATTTAATAACGGCTCTATGACAAAATATTCAAGAAATATATTCTTAGATTTTTATTTACTTCATTTCATACATTAATATTGACCTGATTTCTTTTTTTAATAAATACCAGGAATAAATATTTTATAAAAAACGATTGCACTTAAGCTTAACCGACTTTTAGTTGCTCGGAGCTAATTTTGGAACGCTTCATGAAATATTTTCATAGACGGTAAATGCAATCCTGGGTGCATCGTTAATGAGCTGAAAAAAGAAAACAAATTAAATTTGTGGAATGGAGCCTTTTGAAATGGCCTTTACAAACGGCAATGGAATTCCGACATTATTCAAGGAATCGTGAATATTAGCTGCCTTCCATTTGGCATATTTGCGTGTTAAACCTTCAGAAAGTTACAAAAAAAAAACATTTTCTTTTTTTATATATTATATATTTTTGAAATGAAAATACTCCACCTTGTACACCAAAAAATTTCCTTAAACCATCTTGCGCATGCAGTTTGTTGATCTTATCTTCACGGTTACCGAAATCACCAACTTCAACGTGGTGATTAGCCCTCTTGCGCCAGCCACCGGTTGGTGTTGAGCTTGAATGGCCACAGGTAGTTGGATGCTTTCTTGAAGTGGGATCCAACAGTGAATATTTCGTGCGCTAAATAATCAACACACTTAATATCGTGCGCTTTGTGCAATTTGCGTTCGATCACAAAGTTGTCAGAGATTGGGCCACGTTGATGGTTGTGCTTGACAATTCCACGTTTGTAGATCAATTCACGAACTGATTTAAGATTTGGATAACCCCATGTGATATAGGAATCGGCAATGCGTAGCATATTAACGGTTAAATTTGATGAACAAACCGTGGGGGCCGCGTTTCTTTGCCGCAAGGCGGCGCAACTTATTCTCACGGCGTCCATCACGGAGATATTTTGCTTGATATTTCTCAGATGCAACAAGTTTTCACGTTTGCGGAGTGCAATCACAGCAGAGCGCTTTAGTTTACGCTTGATCAGGGTAGCACGTTTGCTGACCTGCTTCTTGCTGAACTTCAGCTACGACTCGGGGACAGCAGACAGCTTCCTGGAAGGTTGTTTGCCCTTTGCTTCGGGCTTCCTACCGGCCGTGGTGGCAGTCATATTAACTAGTAACTTAGCACGTTGAGAAGGCGAAAAAAAGTTGGCCAAATGTTTGGAGCACATCTTAACTAACGCCACTCGATTAATAACATTTCTATTAAACACAATTTCATTTAATTAATTACTTTTTTAATACATAGATATGCTGCAACCAGGCACTTACTTTCCCAAATTCTATCTTGCTTATCGGCATAATTTTCCAAATGTGCCTGCGCTGCTACTTCGTACTAATCACTTCATTTTCCAACTGCGCCTTCTTTTTTGCCTCAACATATCCTAAAAAGACATAAAATTTACATTAAACAATAGAAATCGCAAACATTAGCAAATAAAATACTCCCTTCGTTTTGTTTTGTTGTAAAATTTCTGATAAATGAGAATTCACCACGATGCAATACAGAAAGAACAAGGACCAGGGATGTAATTTTAAGTAAACCTATTATTCAGCGGCAATGGGCAGAGCGTCCCGAGTGACAAAACTAATTTGCATCAAATATAACATTAAACGGTGGTTCTAATCCATTTTTCATATTATTAATCAGAGTATATACATTATATGGTATTTCTTTCAAAAATTAATGCACTATACGCATAATTTTTTTTCTTAAGTTTCTTGCATTGGTGCTGAAAAGCAACCATGCGTGTAAGAAATTGTATGCTACCTAAAATTTCAGCTCTGGAAACTTTATCCCCAGAAAGGACTTCACCACAGTTTTTTTACTGGATATACTGAGCGCTCAACAAACCATGTGAGTGCGGCAAGGATAATAATATAAATTGATTTTTATTTCCAAACATTTTATTGCCTGTTGCGGTTTTCACTCCGTAAGCAATTATCCAAAATTCTTCAGAGTTCTGAGAAAAGTTATTCCATGGGAAAGTTAAAAGTTTTCTTTCCTTCAAAGTCAAATAGTGAATTGGCAGGTTCCTGAAACTCGGCCCCTTGCGATTCAAACACTTTTCTTGTGACAAACTCAAAGCTTTTTTAAAAGTATTGACTTGACCAGGTTTCAGAAGTTCTTCGATTGGGGTGATTAAACATTTTTGACAGTCTATTAATATGCTTCTCAAGTCAAGTTTCTCCCGCAGTTCATTAGCCTCTTCTGTAAAATTATCGTGGAAAACTAAGTTTTGTATATTTTTATAATTGGAAAAAATGTATTTCAAGTGAAAAAATCGCCAAAAATCGCCAATGGCGATTTCCTAAGTTTTTACGCGAAGATATCCAACAAAAAAATCGACAAATTGGCGCGAAATCGCCAAATCTGGACAGTCTGACTCCCATTCTAATAATTAATACATATTTTGTTCTAGTGAGCTACTCGCAATTGACACAGTAATGAAATTTTTACACAACCTAGAAAAAAATGTAATGTAATGTAAAAATGTTTAAATAATTGAAAAACGAATATCTTGTCTCCCTTTTGATAATGAATGGTAGATGAGGATGGTCTTCCGACTCGACAACTTGGGTACTCTCCAGAATAAAGCAGCCGTCGTTAACCGATGTATTCTACCTTCGTTGTGAAACCCAGCCCATTCTTGAAGAAAATTTTTATGAAAGAGAGCTTATCTTTTCAATAGATAATGGGCTTCACCACACTTGCTTCTCGTCTTCTACATTTGCATTTCATTTTCAAAGTAAAGTTATTTATAAATACATGTACGCGTCAAACAATTATTAAATATTTGCTTTTAAAAACTTGGAAGTAAGCTTTTCGCCATAAACATTTAATTTAAGCATGTAAAACTAATTTATCGGAAGTTTATTCGAAAAACTCCTTTAGTCCAGATTAAAACTATTAAGAGCAGAGACTATTCAATTTACAAATAGGAAGAGGTGAAAAAGCAAAGCAATCTGATTGTTGTTTACTTTTTGCGTTTGCTTTGAGAATACTTGGAAGTACGAGTATTATCTATACTTTTTTGCAAATATGAGTACTGGCATCGATACTTTTTTAGAGTATTCTATATGAGTACTAGTATCGATTCTTTTCTAAACAGTTCTATCACTACCAACGACTAAACGATAGAGCGTAAGAATACGTGTGAGTTGATCTTCCACAATTGTGGTATGAAGCGCCGACCACTGATGTAAATCAATGCTGGGCACACCAACACAGTCTCATTTTGTCGTGGGTATAGTGCGTCGCACTCAGTTATGGTTGCCACGTTTTTATAAATGTACTAAAACTGGTATTTTTCGTGCATGTGTCTTTTGCCCTATTTTGCTTATACGTGTAGTGAAATAATGAATCGTGGAAGTTTTTCGTAACTAATACTATTACTTTATAGAAACTTTTCCATACGAAAAATGTAATACTTGTAAAAAATTTAAATAGGTTTAACTCATTTGTTAAATACCTGCACACAATTTTATTGGAATCTAATCTTTGAAATGCTGGCCGGCCAGATGATTTCGTTGTTTAGATTTTATTATTTTCATATAAATAGGAATTTAGTGCTAAAAATAGAATATAACTTATAAATATTATTCATTAAGTATTTTTTCGTATAAACCAGCATTTAAATTTCTATATCGATTTCTTTAGATAGAAACAAATTATTCTAAAATATGGAATACTATTTGTGCACTTTTTTATAAAAATCATGGAACTTATTACAAAATTATCGAACGTTGGTCAGCAAGCAGTTTTATTTTTTTTTTAATTGTCACGGCATGCAAAATACAGTTTGCTTGTATTAAAAATACGTAGGCACAACCACATAACGGATATTGCGGCTTGTTGAAAGTTCTTTGAACAATAAACTCTAGTTCTTATATAGGGTCGCACTATTTTGTGTTTGAATCGTCGCAAATGCATGGAAACACCAATCTAAGAAAAACACACCACTTTTTGCTTTGGGGATTTTTTGTAAATTTTCTACTCAAACTGTGGGAAGCGCGTGCTAAAATTACGAAGAAAAACAATCCACAGCCGGGCATGATATTACCTTGGTGAAATCTGCAAGCAGACTGAATCGAAATTCGCTGCTTTGCTTCTGTGTACGTATCAGGGATGAAAAAGTAGGTACAATTGTACCTTTTTCCGACGTTTGATGACTTAAAGGTACATTAGGTACAGTCAGTAGATTTTAGGTACAATTACACAGGCCGACAAAATTTAACCAACATTCAGATCCAGAAACCAGACTATATATTTCCGAAGGTTTATGATGCGCTGAATCCAAATCTGGCCTCAGAATTGCTCTATCAGCAACCGTACAAGAAGAAGACTTGTACTTTAAGATGCCAGCCTATTATTTTGGTGAAAGAAAACATCTGCAAGGCTACATAACCTCAAATATGGGCAAAAACGGTGTTTTTTTGCACTCTTAGGTTAGGATATCTCGAAAACCAGTTACAGCAATTCTGAGGCCAGATTCGGATTCATCGCATCAAAATCCTTCGAAAATATATAGTCCGGTTTCTATGTCTGAGATGCTGTCGGCCTGTGTTATTATTATTGACCCATATTCGCTTTTTGATTTCTGAAAATATATTTAAAATGTTTTCGCAGTTACTTACGGCAATTTGATTATTTTCTCTAGACTTGTTGCACCTATTAAAAGGAATCGGATAAATTAGCAGACTTTTCGTGTTGTTGCTGGGTAAAGAAGTATACTTCGCAAAGCGTGTTTTTTGTCTTTTTCACCAATATTTTTCAGTAGTCAAAGTTAGACAAAAACAACGCATATCCGATTCCCATTAGACTATAGTCTATAGATATAGGCTCAGTTGAAAAAAAAAACATAATCATGTTTAGAGTACATCCATATTTTGTATTCATGTTTTAAATAAACTTTATAAAAAACAAGTAAGAAAGTCTAAGTTCGGGTGGAGCCGAACATTAAATACCCGGCGCAAGTATTAAATGTATGTTTTTTTCATCTTTCCGAAAGCTACCGCTAGCTGGTAAGCCGGGGTGTATCAATTTTGAGTAAATTAGCGTCCTTAAATTTCGAAATATCAGTTTCTAGCATTTCTGAAATTTAACGTTATATGAAAAGCGGCCGTAATTTTAGTCCGATTTCAATAATTTTCAACGTTTTGATTTTATGTGGCAAGCACAATAAAAATACCGAGTTTGGTACAAATTGGTAGAACGGTTACCGATATACATATATGTGATCATAAGTGGGCGGTGCTACGCCCATTTTCCAAAATTTTACCATAAGTGTATTTCTTGGTAAAGAATTGTTGCAAGCATCAATTTTGAATAAATTAGCTTTAATATTTACTGATTTATCGAAGATTTTGTATTTCTCTAAATTACCGTTATATGGGATGTGAACGTGGTTATTGTCCGATTTTTTTTAATTTTCGGCTATTTAGTATGCTGTACCAAGGCCAACCACTGTGCCAAGTTTGGAAGAAATTGGTGCAGCGGTTACCAAGATATACACATGTAACCATAAGT